TTTTTCCATACGAGCTTACTCACACGATTTTCCATGTTCGACGACCATGTAGAATGACAACAATGCTTAATCGGCGAATTATAATGAGAATAAATAATATATTCAGTTGACAACAAAGCACCAGCTTATATAGACATACACACACACACACACCAGCTAAAAAGTTGGTATTGGCGATAAGAAGAATAGCTTTAATGGCGAAGGCAATGGTGACGCCAGCGGCAGTAGTAGTGTTTCCTTCTTCCCACCCCCTCTCTCAGAGTGCTGCGATAGAGGCGATTACCAAATGGGTGTCGGTCGTCTACCGGCAGCCGGTAGGTACACCGCTTACGCTGGATGGAACGTGCTACCGTTGGAGAGGATCCAATCGTTTTTGGTTAGCGCGATTGCGATTGTATGCACAGCTCAATTAACCGAGCAGAATAAGCTATGCCGGTTTTTTCTAGGCGACGCGTCGCGGCTGTATCTAACAAACTATCGCATACCTAGATCACAATGTTGCTGTTTTTTGTACGAGTAGGACAGACGGTCATAAGCACGCAAGTCTGCAATCGATTCGCGTACTGTACGTCGGCGATCAGAATGACGCGCGTCGACTGTTATGTGAGTGCGCGTCGCGGCGCAACGCGGCGCGTCTGTAGTATTTTCAATTCTAACCGCTCTCTTGAGTGTCAACCGGTGTAGTGATTCGGGGAGGAGGCGCTAGAGCCTACACCAGCCACAGAGTCAATTTGCCTTGTAGGGAGAGAAAGGCGCGGTGCTAGTGCACGCACACAATCGTACACTTTTACGTGGGCTAAGGTACAGCGCACAATCGCTGGTATGTCGCGCACCGCCCGCTTCACGTGCGTTCTCCCACAATCAATTATTTCAATTCAACTTTTTTTTTTTTTTTTTTTCAATTCTAAATTTGCCTTCACTTTATTGTTGCGTGTTTTCGCGAGTGCAGCATGATTTTATGAAAATTATTTTAATTAGTTTTTAGCACATTGAGCAACAAAGGCACCGCGGCGGCACTGCAAGTTTTCAATCGAATTCCCACTTGTTACATATCAATAGGTGCATTCCTTTTCCACCTTTTCGTTTTTCGTTCTCATAAGCATCTGATGAAGTCACAAAACAACAAATTGTTTATTAATTATGCCTAAGAGTATTTGAATTGTACGTGGGCTAGCGAGCAGCGTACGTGCTCCAACTACACCGACACAGTTTGTGGATGCTACTAAATAATAACAATACAAACGACGCCCATCATCCACTCGATTTGCTCACTCACAGCACGACGACATTACCGCATGGAGCTTTCGGCCATACTGAGACGCGCGCCATGAGTTTGGTGTGGCTTGCGCTCGAGCTAGCGCCGCGCTCCACCAACTGAGCAGACCAAAGCAAATGACGCGTCGCGACGTCGCGGATGCGGTGCTGGTGTTAGTGATGCTAAGCACATAGCGCGCCAGTAGTACTTATACATATTCTCCGCACTAATACCATATTTCCTCCAATTACTCATTTTGAAGAGCAGTGCCGTCCGTTGGCATCGCTGTTTGTCTTGCTCAACAAGATCACAAAGAATTCTAGTTTAGACCACAGCGAATTGGAGCGCACACTACACACTTCGTTGAACGGAATCTGAGAAGCGAAAAACGAAAAGGTTTTTCTAAAAAGCAGTTATTAGTTACAGCAGTTTACAGTAGAAAATTTTGATCACAAAAGCCAGCTTTGGATAACTTTTTCCGTGGCTGTCCTCCATGTATTTTAGGATGCAATTAAAGGCAATTGGCGCTCTGCAGAGTCTCGAACGGCTGGATGGATTCTTTCCCAAGATGGGCGCAGCTAAAAGTAACGAGCAAGGGCCCTCTACATCGTTTGCCGCATATCCCAAATTAGACATGTAGTAGCTTAGGCAGTTTCTCTTCGTGCTGAAAAGCAGCCTTAGAATCTACGAAAATTTGGTGTTAAGGCGACTAACAACACCTGGGGCCTAAAGGCGTGCTCCACCCCCACTAAACTGGTAGCACACCGGATATAAAGCACGTATATACAAATACGTATGCACAATTCTGCACGTGCAAACATTTCTTATAAAAAATTATGCGCATGCACTTCTCAATTGCCATATAATAAAACTTCGTAAAGTAATAAGCTGATGACGTCCAAAATTATGCTCAAGTCGCTTGACGCATCCACCAAAAAACGCCTCCTTAGTTTTGCTAAACGGTAAAGCCACTGCGCTATAACTGTAGGGACTCCGCATGACTTACAACCATGCAGAGTTGGTAAATGCGGCGGTGTAAATAAATTCCTACTGCTCCTCCCCTCTTACCGAGTAAATCAGATGGTGTTGAGTTTCTTATCCGCGTTTGTTTTCAAGATTTACCGCAGAACTTCAGGCTTTCTCACAATATTGTCTATAGGATCTTATATGCAACGTTGAGAGAGCGTATCCCGCGATATATCGTCGATTTCGGTGGTCTAGCTTTTTAACCCGTGTAATTGAGCAAAGAAAAAATATGCCGTCTATAGGGCCACCAGCGTGCTATTTGGGACCGATACAAGGACTGAAGAGGAAAGCCAGACGTATTTCACGTAATACAAATCAAGCGGCCGAAATACGGCAGTGCGAAGGGCGTGAAATGCTGGCCGTAAATTTGACCAGCAAATTGGAAGACTTGTAATCTCATTTGAGTTTAAAGGGCGTAATAGAAACAAGGAACACCGCGACCTGCATAGAAGATTTTTTGTACACCTATGAAAAGCTAACAGGTTCTGGGTAGACGAATTCCTGACATTAAGGGCATCGACTGTGGAATAACTGAAGTATTGCTGTCTTAGTCTGATGAATGCCGGGGAATCACACATAATGTGCTTCGGTGATTATAGCCGGTTGAGTAACCAGTAAGCAACTTGATGTTTAGCTCTGTAAAAATTATTTATATCTTTCCTAGCAAAAGGATAGCCAAAAATTCTGACCTGTCTAAGGCCCCCTACCTCTCCCCAGTACTTACTGCATACTGAGTTTACCCACGCTTCGATTATGAGTCCCGTGGAGGACCAACTGAATGGAAAAAAAACGCTTCCAGCCCCACAAGTACAGACGATGAGCCTTCCCTAGCCCAATCGACGGCAAACTCATTACCTACTATCCCGCAGTGTCCTGGTGTTCAGCATAGTAATACCGTTTTCCTTTCTGCCAAGAGTTGGAGAGTATTAAAGCACTCCTTGGAAAGCCTAGAGCTGATCGCCCTGACACGGACCGTAGACCAAATGCCCGTTGCAATAGAAAGTTTGTGGCAGGTGCATAGACACTTGCCCCTTCGTTTTTTGGTCCGTCTGTGAATCAGTGTACACTTTAACCTGGAATTTCCCTCCAAAGAAGATTTCTTTTAGCATAGACGCGCAGAACTCGCAAATTCCTCGACCTGGTGATGGGCTATGAAAGAAAGGCGCCGATGCTGCGATCGAAAGTTCAGGTGGAAAAGGGCTTGACCCCACGTGCCATTTCCAATTTGGCGTCAACTGGCACATCGGAGAAACGACTGGCATTCTTTATCGAGTCGATCGAAATCGCTTTAGCGATTACCGCGCCAAACGGAAAGAAGAAAAGGCTACGCGGATCAGTCAAGCTAAGCTGGCTCAATTTCAATTTCCCCGAGGTGGATGTAATGGCTTTTATTTGTACATGCAAAGATACATTTAAATTCCACTCATTTATCTAAAGCTGGTTTTAGTGATTGGGGTCAAATGCGTTTTAAGGTACGAGTATTATACCAGATACGTACCCTGGTACATAGACGGTTAAAGTATGGAGTGCAGAGCAAGTGCAGGTACCTTTGGACCTAGAACCAAATGGCAGACGGTATTTCAGGCTGAAATATTCGCAATCTTGAACTGCGCAAAATTAAATCTTGAAAATTGTTTGAAGAGGGCGTTTCTAGTTATAATTTCATAAGGCCAAGCCATCCGGGTCCTTTCAATTAGGACCATGAATTCCAGACTGGTTAGAGATCGCTTTGACACGCAACGAAATTTCGCCAGCCAAACGGTAACATATCAGGCCATTATGGAATCGAAGCAAATGAGGTCGCCGACGAGTTGTAGTCTCGGGTTGTTCTCTACGAGATCCATAATTAATGAGTGGGTACCCTCTGAACGCAGTAAGTACTGGGCAGCGGTGGGGGCTCATAGACAGGCCAGGATACTATCTTAGAAATATAGAAAATGACATCAGGCTAATTTCTGGATACCTGACTGGTTACAACCTACTGCGATTCCACTTGCATCGAATAGGTGTGATCACAAGACGGAATGCCGGTGGAATGTTCTTTGTTAGGCTATCCGACTTTGGCCAGCCACAGATTAAACCATTTTAAAGCTCCAATTGTCGAACTCTTTGTTGTAAAGAGTTCGCCTACGAAGGTCCTTTTCGGATCCATTAGGAAAGCCACAGGTATCTTGAGCTCATGAACACTCTCTTTAAGTGACACACTTCGACATACTTCAGGCCGCTGTGTCTCCCAAGGTTCATTAAACAGGTAATATCAGCGGAGCAACAACAACATTTGCGTGTATTTTGTTGTTGATTTTGAATTCTAAAAAATTTTACGTTTCAGAGTAAAAGGTAAACAAATATGACAACTCATGGACTACTTCGAAAGAAAAAAAATCAAAATTGCAACCCTGCTGCTGCTACCCAAGCAGTAACTAACTTACTATGACATTAAAAGGACACATTTTAGCGCTAATTGAGTTTATTCTTGACTCGCCCGAATTAAGTTTGATGAAAAAACTTAATTTGAAATTGATTTTTTTTTTACTTTTTACGCAATCTTAAATTATAATTGATTGTTATTGATCATTGAAAATTTTGGATATACATTCATACTAAATAATTATTTACACAACCAGATAACAGCTTAAAGTATAATATTTATCCTCTTACGAGTACATACTAAATACTATACAAAACAATGATGAACGTATGTATGTATGTATGTACATAGTATGAATATGGAGCGCTCTTTCACACACTCCTCAGTCCATTCCATTAAGTATTTCCACACCCTTTATGGATTTTTGCGTTGCGTTCGTTCGTGCGTATGGTTTTTCCCCACGCATATGAATTGAAAATGCATCTGCAATTACTGTGGCGCTTCTCGGTCTAACAATAACTTCGTAGAATTTCAATTGTTTTTGTTTTGTTTCACCTGAAAATGTCCTTACTATCTTTCAGTGCCCAGTAGAGAGATAAATGATACATTGTGCGTTTACGTACAGATATGTACCCTCTTGGAAAATGAGAACGCTTCAACTTGGCAGTAAGATGGAAACTTTACTTATCACTTCTCTGCGCAAAGTCCGAAGAAGTTTTAAAATTTACACTTATTTCCTTTTAGCTTGTAACAAAAGGTTTGAGAATATAATAACTGTTAGACGTGGCAAGTGCAAGTAGTTTCCAAACTGGTGTAGGAGCAGTCTCACCTTGCAAGCAAAGTCGTATAAAAACATTAATACCTACTTAAAACGAAAGATGGCTACGGAAGAAATATATAACAGAATGTTACACCTTGCAATACTTTCGTTCCTCAACTTTTCTGAGTAAAACTGAAAAAAAACTGTCTAAGTGTGAAATTTCTCTCAGTGAAAGAGACAAAAATCAAAAAGTATGGCAACGATTTGCGAGTAAAAAGTGGTAATTCTGTTAAACACATCGTTGATATAATTTTTTTTATTTCCATAGTTGTTTTTTTATTATTTGGAAATTTGCTAAATAATACGCAAACATACAGGCAAATAAACAAAACTACATACTTACAAAACCTTACTTCGTTACGATTGCTTTAATAAGGTGAATATGCAGATGTGCTTTATTTTTGTTTACTCAACTTTCAACTTTCTAACAGCACAGAACAGCTGATGGTTTGACACTTTATCAGATTTTAGGTTTGCTCGTCGAAAATCCAGCAAGAATTATACAACACTTAAAATATCAGAGAGTAAGAAAAAATTCTCTCAAATTCTCTCTCATTTTGAGAAACTTGCAAATTTCTGGACGAACGCAAATTTGCAGGAATTTCCATGTTTCCCTGTCAGCTGGTGTCCACGGTTGCATTTCAAACAAAATAAATGTTTATTAAATTTTTAAAACTCTTTCAGATGGACAAAAAACGGGATTCGCATGTATATTTATTGTTGTTCTGAATGTCTTTAACATACATTTAAATTTCTTTATCGTACTAGCCGATTGCGAATACAATTTTTTCTCAGCCGAGTGTAGTTAAAATCATTGAAATTAACTAAATTAA